CTTTTTGCAAAGGGTAGGCGAAAAGCATTTGTTCTTATTTCATATTCACGTGTGATAACCCGATCCAAATCCGCACCCTTTCTGTGGTGGTTTACCCCAGTTAACTGAGACGAACTATCTATTTGGGAACTCATCCTGTTCTCATACTTAAGCTTTGTATTTCCTCCGTGGAGGATTATGAGAGCTTATCCCAGGGGGGGGGGTTCAGTGTTATGAGCTTGAATAACGTGAACTTTGAAAACGCGATGCAACTGCCCTAATTCAAATGAGTTGCCTGATAGACTACTACTGAAGACAATACCTGAACAACAATCAATTGGTAATTCGGTTCAGCCAGAGTACGAAATGGTTGGCACAGTGGTAACGCACACGAATTCCGGGGGATGGCCCCGGAGTTCAAAGCCCGGACGCGCTGGTGGGTTTGCACCACTGATGAGCTCGAGTCGAGTGCTTTCGAGTGTATGGTTGAACTGAGGATTGTTTATGAACGTGTACTCCAAATGGTGGTTAGTTCAAATCAATAATAATTATCCCACACCACTAATCACAAGTAGCTGTGAGTTAGATGCTAATTATCAGTCACGTATACTGTTGAAGATATTGATGAGTCTCTGTTTCACAAACTTCACAAACTCTGGGATAAAATAAGTTGTCAAACAACCAGCCTTTTTCAGTCATTCCAAATTACGCTTATACAGACCATTCACTTAGGAAAAAGCAGCACAACGGCTTACACAGTAGGATAATTTGCAAGGATACATTCAAGCCGGTCTGGAATAGTGACGTTCATTCATTATAATAATCCCAAGTTAATGTATGCACCCGAATGGCTACAACCTGACACGTATTTTCATTGCGCTCATGCTGACCAGAGTGACCAGCAAATGTTGTGATTATATCAATTCTTCCTAGAATATCTTTGCTCTGTGTCAATGAATTTGACTGCTGAGCAAGAGTTGATTAAAGGGTTCTCTTGGAATGTTTGCAAAGCTTTCAACATCAGCACTCCAAAGGTTAAATTTTTTCGTTACAAACTGGGAGTAAATGTGTATATCTTTGATATGCCTTTAACCTATAATCTCACTTCAAAGAAGTGGTCACACAGAGCACAACTGCCACAGATCTGTATGTGTGGGTAAGGTCAAATTTGTCTACCACTTCGCCACTGTATCGATAAGAGATATACATTCTCACAACGCAAGGCGATGCCACATTTTGCTCTCTCGCAGGAAAACGAAAATCGATCACGTTTGACAGAAAACCAACCTAATTTTGAGGAGAACTGGGAGGAGAAGATAATTTTGAAGTAATCTCATCGGTTATTATAAAATCATCTGGAAAACTTTTACGAGGCAGCGCATTTCGATGAACATTATATTTTGTGTGATTTGCTTAAAAAATATAAGACTAATGAATGATATTAGTAAGAATAATTCAGGTAACATTTTTCATATAGCACAAGTGGTAGACAACAACAACCTATGAACACGTCGACTTTAGTTGTCTTTCGCCGAGAAACAGCGGACTCCAAGTCCGCATTGGCCCCCAAATCAGCCAGTGGCGTGCATCATGCATATCAAAAACCGGAACGCGTTGAGGAATTACGTCAGAAAACTCTGTATAACCCCTGGCGGCTTAGGATTTTTCAGATCTAGTTAAGAAAGGGGTGGACTTTTGGTAAAAAGGACCTTCAATTCAGCCTGATTAGCACAAAGTTTCACCGAGGTCTCAGTTGAAAATACATTTGCTATCGACAGTTGTGCACTTTTTTCACATATTTATGAAGTAAATAAATTGGTCATCAGGCGGGACAATTGTCACAAATAAATGCGGAGCACTGCTTGTGTTGTCTGCCACATAGTAAACCAGATGCGGTAACGAGCGCAATAGCTATCCACCTAATTGGCATAAATCCTCGAGTGGGTAACAAATCCACCTTCTGAATGGACGCCGAGTGCCTATTAATCCCCCCTACCTACCTAGCACTCTAACTTTCCGCACTAGCCACTAGAGAAGAGATGAGGATTTAGACTCACCCCGCGGTTCTGTGCTTTCAAAAGCGGCTTCCTTGTGTTCCGCAACTGCGTTGACCGCAGACCAAAACAGAAGTTGAACGATTGCGCGATCCCAATAATTTCTCGCTGTTTTCTGGTCCCATTCAGTGCCCACCCCCTCCAACCCTCATACAAGTATACGTTCATTGATTTTACCGAGAAAATTCAGCCCATAATTGCACCAAACCCCGGTGGGAGTATCGGGGGCACGTGAAAAACATGATCGCATTCGTTGAATCTACCCTACGGTGCCACGAATAATTACACATCAATCCAGAAGCGGAACCACATAAACAGGGGAAAACATCTAAAACCCACAAAAGGACGGATAGTCTGTTGAATTCCACCTATTTGGTATTAAAATCAGTATAATCCGTATTCGGAAAGAGGTCGGTGATCGCTTGTAGGTTGTAAATCCCTGATTTGAAAAGTAGATGGTTCAGTTCGAGTGCACAATTTACGAACCAAGTGGATGGCGGCCTATATCGCCTTTTCATCACTGCTCACTTGATCAGGCTGCTTCCCATTTTTGTGTAAGATTTTTTAACCAATTAAATCGCGAAATACTCACGATTGTTTTTTATATATTGATTATTATATTTCATGCGGACTGGTGTCGACTTAAAATGAATCATCAATTTGATTGACAGCATTCATTTTAGATGCACGGAAAACGTACCGGTAGCGGATGTAAAAGCAACCACTCAATGGCTCACATTTCATTAGAACAGAGGAAAGATAAAATCTGAGATCTTAACATTTTTTATTACCTTCAGAGACTACAACGCACAAACCTCTAGCATGTATATAAGAAGGCTTTCATAGCTAGGATGGCACAGCGGGTGACAGTCAGGAGAATCGGAATCAGTTCCACTACACCCTCTGACTGTCAACCGCTGAAACGCGGCAGTTATAAAAACATTTATATAAATATCAGATTTGTTGACGTTATAACGACTAACGACAAAATAGTTATCACACTGCACCGTTTTTGTCTTCTCCTTTTTATAATGAATCCGTTATAGGGAACCCAATGTTTCCAGTTTCTACAAGTGAGATGTTTTTTGATCGATTGCTCTGAACTGGTAAAACTGATCACAGTTTTAAAGTTCCTCCACACAAATGATGCTATTCCATTCCAGAAAAACCGGATGCGTGTGCACTTTTCCTTAAATCACTCATCCCCATGGTCTAACTCCTCTAAGCAGCACATAACATGTTATACTGTTCATAAGATTTAACCTGTTGAACCCAGGATGTCCTTTACATCTGCGCAGTTGAAACTACACCTGAAAGTTGTAAGACATTTAAAGTTAGTTTTTCTCATTCCATCGGTACAACGCCGTTTGCTGTGTGAGAGGTCAAACTTTATTAGGATGATTCTGCAATGTACCGTATGATGCATTTGAAACTCAGTTCAACACTGACATTATTAACTTTGTTATGATTGTTAACTCTATGGGCCACTTCCGGCACGTTTTTTCTCAGCGACTTTTAAGAAAAGACACGTAATTTTAAGGCACAGAAACATAAGTCGCACTCATTTTCTTCGTACCTTTGTTTTTCAACGATACGACAATTTTTTAGCCATGCCTTCAGAAAACGCAGGCTTTCCATGACGTTCGGAGTTTGCACTTTCGTGCATTCATGCAGTATAACCCTAAACCGCATACGTTTATCGAATACGACACTGTTCTCCTTCTTCTTAAGAGAAACATCCAGGGTGTTTACTTTTGTGTGACAGTAAAATCTGAATGTTTCAGTTTCAGTTTGTATAACCATTAACCATGCACTATTGTGCGCCAGTTTTGGTTGCCGTCTTTTGACCGCCCATTTGGACAAACATTAGGAGAAAGACAGGAAAGGTTGAGAGTAGTATCCATGGGAAAATTTAGAATTTCAGTGGACTAAAGTTGCCGAAAAATTGAGGAGATGAAGAACGCGACCGTTTACGACGCCCAGCCATATCACTCTGTCTCTCTAACCATGGGGTACGATCATCCCGAGGTCCCCAGCCAGATACCCCAACGGTGTCATTAGTTGAATGGATATTCAACTCTGTTTATCTTTCTAGATGCCCTATTGTCCTTTCATCAGAGAACAAAATGGTTTCTCTTTAAACAATCTTTAACAACGGAAAGCGATGTTCGTCAGAACTGCCCTCTCTCTTCTTTCCTATTTAACCTTATTATAGATCTGATTATGGAAACAGCCTTATTTTCGTGCAATAATGGAGGCATGGATTTACTTACACGTTGCAGACTGCCTGATTTGGACTAAGCAGACGACATTGGGCTGTTCAGCGAAGATCCAGGTAAGCTGCAAGCTTTTCTTAATAGCTTGAGCGCCAGCGTAGGCATGCTTGGTATGCGTTTGGCATCTTCAAAGTTTAAAATGGTACTACAAGATAGGGTTAGTCCAGCACCTAGCCTCATTCTTACTGGGGAAGCAATAAAACAAGTGGATAAGTTTCGTTATTTGGGCAGGTACATCTCACCCGGTGGACGCATCACGGATGAAATGTCTGCTAGCATACAGAGGACTCATTTGGCATTTGCCAACATGAGACATCTGTGGCGCCGTCGTGACATTCGACTGTCTGTGAAAGGTCGATTGTATGCCTCCGTATTCGGGCCAGTTCTGCTATACGATGCAGAAACTTGGCCATTAAAAAAGAGGATAAAGATAGACTGCCGATGTTTGAAAACGCTTTCTACGCACCATTGCACGAATCTAGTGGGGCAGCCGGACGAGCAATGCTGAGGTTAGGTGCAGAGTTTTGGTTAACCGCGGCCGCCCATTGGAGCAAGTGGTCGACCTCTACAGATTTTGTTGGTTGGCCATGTGTTACGCATGTCACCAAATAGGTTGCCACGGCGAGCGATGTCCGCCGAGGCAGGTAGTGGATGGAATAAAGCCACGGGTGATCAAGTTAAGACCTGGCATGAGGGTATGAAAACCTTAACCAGGAGTCTGAGTCACATATATTTCGTTAAGCCTTCTGGCTGGGGACCTCTGGATGATCGGACCCCATGGTTAGAGACAAACTGAGTGATATGGGTGGGTTTCATAGGTAGTGGCGTTCGTGCATCTCAATTTCTTTGCAACCATGGATTACTGAAATTCTCCATTTTTTGTTCGATTATGCTTTCAAGCATCCTGTTTTTCTCCTATTCTTCATCCAAATGGCCAGCAAACAAAACCGTCGCACGAAAGTGCATAGTTAATAGTTGTAGAAACTGAACTGAACTGAATCAGTGATCGTAAGGCAGAATGAACCTTCCCACTTTATCGACGAAGCTTCTTTGCCAGGAAGCATGAAAACATACTACACATACTTTTGACGGCACGATGTTGAGACTTGATTTCGATGTTCCTTTTGCGTTTAAGAGAACTTACTCTGCTCAATCTCACGGTAAGCGTAAAGTTCATCGTTAGAACTTTCACCTTCAAATATACGCTACTATGCCATGCAAATAAAAATGAAATAAAATGTCTTTTCACTGCTTCTTTTACTTATTGTGCGTGCAAATGTACAATCAACTTTCACGAAGGTATCCGCGACCATATAAAGACAGCCTGGGAAAAAAACAGAAATGGGGAAGATAGGCGGTGGTAAAGTGGAGGAGCGAGACTCGTGGGTCACTATTTTGATTATCCTAATCACTTGACTACCACCGCCCACTACAATACATGAGCACTAATCATTATAACAGTGATTTTTCTGGTGCTTATTTTCACCAGTCATTACTTTTTTACATGTAGAGCACTTACTCATCGATCGATTTTATTTAGGGAGAAAACACACTTTTCGGGGTCCTGACAGGAGGCATGTGGTGAGTATCTCAAGTAATTTTGACTCTACTCAAGCACTGCGGGAGGAATTCCTTTCGTATACTCTCACAAATCGCAGTTATGTAACAGTGAACAAGATAGACAAATTAAGTGAATTAAGAAATCTGTTTAAATTTAATCTTGTGTGTGCGTGTATTTGTGTGCGTATGTGTACACGTGTGCTTGTGTGTTCCTCATAAATTACTTGTATCATTCCCCAAGAATCCGAATTTACGTTCTCAAAGTTTATTAGACGCCTCCAAGCGGCAGATTCTTCCCAGAGTTAATCACTCGGTTTACCCAAATATGTATTTATTTTTTATCCAATGGCTCACAAAACTTCGTCAATCGGGGATGATCACATGATAAATCTTTAACTCCTTACTTGAAATAACATATTTCCCAAATAAAACCAACATGAGCCACAGGAATTAAACACTCAGCATTAAAGCAAACCTGTTCCAGTATGCGATTCGTCAGCTGATTTCGTTCTTCGCTAAATTCATTCTTCAGTCGAGACAACATATTTTGCAGCTGTTCAACCTCATTGGTCAAGGCATGGTTGGCAATGGACTCTGCTTGCAAGATGGTCAACTCTGTAAAAATATATGAAAGATACAACGAGGCTGAGATCCGAGAACAGGTTAACCATCGTTCAACACAGCACCAATTTTGCTTGACCAGAAATTCGAAATGATAAGACAAGTTAGTAGGTTAGGTACAGTCGGGCTGAACATCTCTATATTCGTCGCATCCATGATCATACAGCTTTTGTGTGGATGACCAACTGAATTGATGAAGTACATGAAATGCAATGTGCTAAGCACAACTTTTAGCTATGCAAGATCCGATTGCCACTTTTCCTTAACCGTTATTTCCAATGCAGTTCGTCAGGAAACTACTGCTGAAGTATTTTGTGTTTGTTTGTTTGTTTGTTTCAATTCAACAGGGAAAACATACGGTAAGCATATTCAAGTGTACTTACGTCGTTTTTGTTTCTGAACTGTATTGAGTGCACTGGTCAATTGCCTGAAATGTGATTTAAGTAGACATAGATGAAGTGGATCATCCATACACACTGAGGTAAGTTAATCATGGTCAGTCACTGAACGATTGCATAACGTGCTACTAATTGAATTGACTCTAAAATGGATTTGTCGCTAAATGTGCTCCAAAAACCGTGAAAAATATCACTTCGTAATAATTCGTTTGACGTATAGGGTCATTCATGCTACCATCATCCTCTGTGACCTTCTGATTCATTATTTTTAGGCATTGCTACCTTGAACACGGTGTGCATCTTTTCAGCCGCCCCATAACCCTATAACGGTTGGTTATTAACCTGAAGTGATTATACAGGTCTATTGACCAAAACATCAAATGGATATGCGTCAACTTGCAAATGGATAGTGGAATGAAGGACGCTGCATGAGAGGGTGGTTGGGGTTGTGAGTCCACATAATCGATAAAAGAACATGGTACTTTAACGGTTTCAACAAGTTGTTTTGGAACTCACAAATAAGAGTCCGGTAGTCGTCCAGCGAGGGACGATCTATCTCGATGACCGGTTTTTATAGATGGTTTGGGGGAAAAGATAAAAACCCTGAAGGTTTCGGCTGGACCACCCACGTTTTCCATTACCCCAATTACTTTTCCTCAGGCCCTTATCAGATCGTTGCAGTAATATTGTCGATGAATCACTTTCATAGTAAGCATTTTATGATACCAATGGGTACACTTGATTTAAACGTTAGTTCGCAAAGATGCTCCATAAGTGCGTTTTATGTTTTGACCAATCGGTCACTTGCAGTGTCTGTTGTTCTCTACTTCGATTTTCATGTGATAACAACATTTTCAAAGAGTGCTTCACAAAAATGATTGCTAGACATTTTCGGAACATATTCGAATCGGCAAAACTCTTTCAAGCTAATTAGGCAGCATAATTAAGTTAATTACTTAATTAAATCCCGTATCACCAGTATTACTTCATCTCCACTACTCGAAGTGCGTTACCGGTGTTGATCAGTAATTCCCAACGTTTCAGATTGTCTTTAGGTGGAGATAATGCGGAAGATGGCATCGAACCGAAGTCAGTGGCGTGAAAGCATTCTCTCCTGTGCGCTACTGTCGGTTGTCATTAAACTTCCTACTGTGGGGATGCAGCTAATCCTCTTTTTGGTATTTTAGCCTCAGCCGAAATATTATCGCGATTCAACTCCGCAGTAGCAATTTGCACGTAGTATATTCTAGCTTTGTCGATGGTAAACGATGACTTTGGTTAATCTCCAGGTGCACTTTATCCCATTTTCATGGATTTAAACCAAAAAGGATCAATGGTTCACCGCAAGCTGCATCGCTTTTCACCAACTTTGTTTTCAACACCCATGATTCCGAGGGTTTTCACAGTGATTGGTTATTTCGGCGTGAACTCAGATGAAACGAAAATAGTGCATGCATTCAGTTTGCTCAACACTGCTACGAACTTCCAAGGAGACATGTAGTTTTCAAAGAAACTCAGTAGCCTCAGCAGGAAGACCCATGAGGAGTAACCCTAATAGATTTGTATATTACCGGTGCATAAGGTCGTGGAACTCGACGGGTAAGTGAATTCACCCTAAGTTTCAACCGCGCTAAGAACTGTAAATTTAAGTCAATGATGTGCGCAATGTCATGTGAAAACTTGATAGAAGAACACATGATTTGTAAAGAAAATGGGTACATTTGATCGTCAGATAAAGAATAAGACTTACTCATGCAAAACGGTCGCTTCTGCTTTTAGTGTATCATTTTGAGTCTTCATCATCTGGTAATCCGCAATCTGAAAAGTACAAACGTGAATAAAATTTCGACTTAATCGCTTCACTAATCAATTACTGCTACCCATTGTTCTGGCCAATATCATTATGCAATAAAAATTATGAATCACGCACCCAATTATTAAATGTGAAAAATGCTATTGCGTTGCATCAAAAACATTGAATCATTTGATGAGAGACAAAGGCAAAGTGAAATCACCTACCTCCATATCAGAAAATTTGCATTTTTGTGCCAACAACTCGGATTTCAACTCTTTCACGAAGTTTCTCTCACGTTCCAGCGTCCTTCGGTTCTCTGAAACCAAAAATGCAATCGTTGCTTTACAGAACGAAACAGTCCATTTACATATGCGATTTGCCTAAGCCAAAGAGAGGCTATCAAGTTTACGCTCGTCAAAGTTGAAAGGTTACCCATATGTGTATAGTGTACTGTGTATGTTTAGTGTATATTGCATTCAGTATTCCTCATACATATACACAGTAGGCACTATTCATTACCTTCCAACTCAGCTGCTTTGTATTCAAGTGCTTTTTCCTGTCGAAGCGCGCGTTGTTCGTCATCCACGCGGAGTCTGTTGAGAAAGTGCGCGTGTGCGTGTGGGAGGGGGACAGTGAGAGAGAGAAACAACTGTGAGATCATTTTACACGCTATCCACGGTCAGTGTTAAGGACACGTTTGCTTCAAGCGGCTCTATTTGATGCAGACGTAAAACAAAAACAAAAAACACTACTCTGTGTGATACCTGTACCGCGAATCGGAAAGGGGCCATGGTCATTCAGTACTGGGGATTGAACTAAAGTTCGGTAGTGTACCGATAAGGGGAATAAACAGAAGTACAAAAAGTTCTTTTTTATTTGCACCCGTCTGCTTCACTCCGTGCTGTTGCTTTCTATCCAGGGTGTCTGTCACGGTTTATGAGCTCCGGGAATTAGCAGACTGTGTTGGGTATGAGGCACAACGCTGGTTTAGTTTCCTTTAATCAAATCAAGTCAGGGAATGCGTTTTACATTCAAAAGCTTAACTCCTGACAGTTTACCAATTTGTACACGATATGTATATATACAACCAATCTTTACAGATACGGTACCAAAATAACAGTGGTTTTTCCGCAAAATATAGGATCAGATAGGGAGAAAATAACAACAATAACACTATGTTTTGTTTGTTAACTGCACACCGTTTATTTTTATTTTTTTGTGGATCGTACACAAAATATGATGCATTCGAGCCATATCCCGCAGTGTCTCCAGTGAAGGGCATTCTGAATCGTTGGAGCCCCAGCCGGGGAGCCGGGGAGCCGCGGAGCCTCTACGGAAGGCAGATCCGAGTATAATCCCTTTCATGATCTACGCCGCGTCATAGCTTGCCAACTTCGTAGGTTGTTCCAGCCCAGAACGATATCTGCAAATAGTGCAGACGTTGCTCAGGCATTCGCTCGACGTGCCCCAGCCACCGAAGACGATGCTGTGAAGTTACTTTGCTCAGTGGAAGACTAAGTGATCCTAACACACACCGTTTGACCTCATCGTTAATCACGGGCTGCTTTCACCATAGGCAGGCGATGTTGCGTAGACAACGGTTGTCGAAGACGGATAGTTGTTGGGCATGATCTGATAGGAGAGGCCAGGTTTCGCAGCCATAGAGCAACACGGCGCGTGCCGTTGCGCAATACACATGCCCTTTGAGTGAAAGAGATATGATGCGCCGGGGCCAGAAATGCCGCAGATTCGCAAGCGCTAATCGAGCTTTGACAACTAACCAGTNCAGTTTAGCAGGACGTAATTTGATCGCCGCATGTTTATTATTGGCTATTACATTGTGATATCTTTTCTGTTATATATATATATATATATATATATATATATATAGAAAAGCTCTGACGAATTCTGATGTCCTTGATCCAAGTGACAATCACATATGTTTCTTCATGGTCCGATTTGTGCTTTGTTCCGGCATAAAATTGTGATACACTCTATAATGCTCATATAAATAAATGCAAGCTAAAGGATATATTTTAAGACACTGTATTGTCTCACTTCGAACCCGCTGGTTTACTGACAAATGAGAAATCTGTTGGGTGAATAAACTGAGTTTCTTCAGCTTTTAATCAGAAGATTTTCCGATGTTTTTGGTTTCTCAGTTATTTCTAAAATCGCCTTCCGTGGTACCAGCGGTCTGAGGCTCAGATTCAACATTATTCCCTATTTCATTCTAGGAGTTATTCTTCCTAAAAATCTGAGTTGTTCAAATAGCCTCTCAAAAGTTAACTCACGCGTCAACTAGCAGCACACACAGTTGATCTTCTAGTGGTGTGATCGATCAGAACTGGAACTCACGACTGCATACCAATCACCAAAAGACTGTAGACCGTCCTCGAGCAATATGCCATTTTATCACCATGCAATTTTCTTGAGGCTCAACCTTCTTTCATTTAGGTGCATCAAGAGAACTGACTGAAGTGTTATCGTCTATTTTTGCAATCACAGTAGCCACAGTATGTCACTATCTTACCTCATTCCTTGTATAGTTTTTCTCTACGATTGATTCCTGAAAGCTGAAGTTGAATGAAGCACACAATGAATTCATTACCTCCTATCATGTTAGGCG